ATTGATTTTTCAATTCTGGGAAATCAAACTTAGAAATTGCAACTTTGTTAGACTTATCGCGGTACTGTGTGAGGAATATTGTTAGAAGATATAAGTAATATCACAAATGCCGACCGAAGAGCATTAAGAAGAATAATCGTGAAAAACAGGCGTGCCAATTATTTACAATTAAGTGCTCTGTGGAGTGACGCTGCTGGAAGGAGAATTTCGAGGTCCACAACTCATAGAGAGGCCCACAAACTGGGATTTAGCACTTTCAAGGTAAGTTTTCTTATAAAAAAAGTGAAGTAAAAACCCTAAAGTTACACAACTTCTCTATAAGCCAAAGAAAAGCCACTAATAACTCCAATGCAAAAGAAAAATCGGCTTAGATGGGCTAAAGAACATACACAATGGACAACTCAACAATGGTGTGCAATACACTGGACTAATGAGGCCCAATTCGAAGTTTGTGTTGGTGACAGTAGCAGTAGAGTTATTCGCAAAAAAAAAATGAAGCATTACATGTTGACTGTATCAAGAGAAAAGTGAAATATCCAACATCCATTATGGTCTGGGGCAGTAAGTCATCAGAAGGAGTAGGAAAACTTCATTTTGTTGATGGAAAAGTGGATACAAATAAATATTTGGCAATTTTAGAAGAATCGCTTTTACCAGTGATGGAAGAATGTTTGATATCCGGCCAAGATTTTGTGTTTCAGAAAGATGGTGCAGCGTGCCATACCTCAAAAAAGGCTATAAAATGGATGGAAGAAAATAATGTACCACCTTTGAAATGGGTTTCTAGCAGTCCAGATCTGTCACCTATTGAAACTGTGTGGCACGAGATGAAAAAGGTTCTACGGCAACATCTTGCTCGTACAATCACCGAACTGAGACAAAAGCTTCAAGAAATATGGAATTATTTTACACCAAATTTTTGCCAAAACTTGATGTTTTCCAATGGTAATCTTTCAATTTTTCACGCATTTATTCGCACATTGTTTATTTGTTCAGCTGTTCTATTAGTTATAGGTCTAAGTGATTTCAAATACGTATTTTTTACGACCAGAATGTATCTAAAATGTTTTTGAGAAAATAAATTGTTTTAGAAGTAAATGGTTTCGTCATTTTTAGTTTATAAAGGCATATTTTGGTACAAATCTCGAATTGGGCGAACTGAAGTGGGAAGGGGCTCGTATTTGTACCTCCACAAGGAACACAATGTATATTAGAGGCAAATTATACTTTTCTATAAATCGGGTATTTCAAGTTCGACAATCAGCATTGAGATCTTGTAAATTCTAGGATCTAGGATATAAAAAGTTGCTTGAATAGGAGCAAGGGTGCGTATATTTTTTTGATGGTCCATGTTGGATTGATGCACATATGAAAAAAGCTTTTAATTCTGATTTTAAAATTATTCAAAATATTGAAAACTTGACTACGCATTCTTGTAAATAATAAAAAAAGCACTGCTAGTATGCATTTATTTTAAAATCCCATGTCAAATAAAACCCGCACCAAAGTTAGGGAGTGTCAATGTATAACATTTTATACGTTTCTGAGTCAGAATTAAATACTCCATTCATGTGTGCAAGAATCCAATATGGCGTCCATAAGAAAAAATAAAGTTGAGCCTGAAGGACAATAGACGAAACACCAAATTGCAATTCTGATTATGCCACCTTGTAGAAGATAAAGGCGGCAATCTTCATGCGCAACTAATTTTAAAATCTCCCTACAAATAAAGTCGGAAAGAAATTGAAATGATATTGGGAAAATTCGGTATTTTCAGTTTCTCTCCGGAAGTGCTTTGAATTTCGAATCTTTCTAAGCTGTATTCTGTTGGTTACCTCAATATGCAACTCTATCCCCCTTACGGTTTCCGAGATCCCAGTGGTAAGGGTCTAATTTGAAACACCTCGATATCCATAACCTGTAAGGCAAAATTCACAATTTTGACACAGAGTAAATTTTTTTTGCTTTTGGCTGTGTTTTGAATAACAAATATAACTGCTAGCATAGCATATATCATCTCGGCGCCAACATTTTCTTTCAATGCCTTGGCCCAACTTCCGAATGAGCCATAAGTATATGCCGGTCTTCATTTTTCTTCTCTATAAAGCTATTTTTGAGGAGAATATTCCATCATATTGGGTTAGCTGGAAACTCCGTCTACGTAATACTTTTCGACAAAGTTTCCTTGTTAGTAAGATCCATCAAAGGGGAAATGTTAGCAGTTCAGAAAACATTTAACCGTACGCTGGACCTAAGGTCGGAACGTACAAAACGTGGCCACTCACTTTGCAGGGAAATATTTGTGGGATTATGACACGGTAAGCTATGCTTTCGAGAGAATATGGATGAAGTAACTATAGTAGGCGTTAAGGAGATATGGAGTGTAAAGAAAATTAGGGATCAGTTAAACAAAATAGCTCATGGGACTGTTGATGTTCGTTGAATAGAGGAACGTAGCATTTCTAGAAAGTTTAAATAATGTGAAATTTTAGAGTACTGAGTTGAAAAGAGATGGTTTATATTTATCAGAACCTTAAAAATTAGTTTAACGTGACATTGAAGAACATTTGTCAACATTATTTAGTCTCTACTTAAATGACTTATTCAAAATTAACAGTTCTGGAAAGATTATATGTTTTGCAGATGACACCCTCGTATTATATAAAGCTGATGACTGGAACACACTGAAGCTAATAGCTAAAAAGGATTTTATAAGGATCATTGACTGGTTTGATACTAAAATTTTAACAGTTAACTTCAAAAAAACAAAATTTATTGCATTTACATTTACAAAATTTCTATCTAAATTCGAACAAATTTCCGTTAATTATCATGGCCAAAAGACCAAAATCGATAGAGTTAACACTTTGAAATATCTTGGAATATTTATAGACTCACATCTAAGGTGGGATAACCATATTAAATATGTTATCAAAGAAATTAGAAATGTTGCCTATAAACTCAAAATGCTTGCTAACATTCTTACAGAAAGTTATCTGCGAATCCTATACCATGCCTTAGTTGAAACCCATATAATATACGGCATCACAGCCTGGGGTGCCGCCTGCAAGACATATATTTCTAACCTGAATATAGCACAAAAAACTGTTTTGAAAGCCATTTTCCATAAGCCAAGATTATATCCAACGAACAACTTATATCAAGAAACAGGGATACTTGATACAAGACAACTTTATTTCTTACATGCCACCACCTTATACCATAAGTATTGTAATAAAAAGAAAAAATCCTATAAACACGAGCATAACACACGATTTCGAATAGGCTCATCTAATATTCAAAGACCACACAAAACATTATTCAAAAAATCATTTGAATTCTTAGCAGCTAAATTATATAATGTAGTACCAAACGAAATAAAGATACTTAATTTTGGAAAAAAATTTAGAAGAAAATTGAAAGACTGGGTTAGTAATGTGCAGCGAATGACTATACATAATTATATAGAAAACTAAAACTACAAAATTCCAATTACATTAATACCTTTTAGATTTAACAATAATTGTAATACACATATATGATTGCTTGTTAGTTATTAAGATATAAACCACATACAGGCGATGCCTTCTGTGGTTTTTTCATATTTATTTGCCCATTTTTTGTATTTTGGCGAATAAATATTATTATTATTATTAGCATCTATCAGGTGCGTCAGTTTCGCCATAACTTGATGTTAATTTTCGAATATTCCTTCTAGTCTTATTCTAGCATAATTATAGATTAGATCTTTAAGACTGATGTAGGCTACCCTTTGTTTCAAAAATAAATCTTGAAGAGGTTGAAATAGGAATAATAGTTACTACGGGGAGTTATTATCCTTTGAGTTAAGGATACCGAATATGGATTTGTTATACTTGTTTCTTTGATGTAATGTAAATTAAGCACTCACGAAGGAATTTTGAAAATTCCATTCCTAAGGGGTGAAGTGGGGTCTATAGTTGTGTTTGCGAAATAAAGACAATGAAAAAGAATTCCAGCTTAGAGTAGGGTTTTACTGCTACTGCAAAGGGTTTTCATCCGCAGAGCTCTCCTCCCATCTTATCCGTGTCGAACATCCTACATCGAGAGCTGGCCAATACGACCGCTCCTTTTTCCGAGGCTTTTTACAGTTCTATTAACCTTAGGCGGTTCAAAAATCGCATTAACAAAATTTCTCTGGGATCCTCATAGCAGCCTTGGTACTTGGGCGTCAGTCTATAGAAATTTATGTCAAGAACTGTTTGACCTAAATACACGAGCTTTAGCAGAAATTACCCAAATACTCAGTTCGCCAACTGAATCATTTCAAAAAATAAGTAGGGGTAGGGCCAACATTTTTTGTGTTTTTATTCTTTTTTCAATTCTTTGTGATGAAACATGACTTTTGGTAACATAAATCTTTGCAACAAGTGTTTTACTGCATTTTAGATTGATCATAGAGTGGAATTCTCACAGAGGATGAAAATTGTTTCTAAACAATGCAACTTAGCCCACACACTTAATATGGGTAATTCTTACAAAAACTTTACATTTTTGTCGTTTAGGTTTTGAAAAAAAATCTGTTTCATGTATTATGGTGAATATTTTTCTCTTGAAAACAACACAATCGAAGCTAAGAGTGGCGGTAGTAATTTTTCAACGATATAAGTATTTCAGAGAAATAAAAAATAAAGAGAAGCCTGAAAGTCATTCCCTCACTATGCCCCAAAGCCTGATTAAAGTCCAAAACTAAAAACAACATTTTAAGTCAACCAAATTTTTCAAAAGTCTTCTGAATGTTGAGTAGGGTGAGGAACCGTTACTAAAATATGTTTTTTTGATGTGTCCTATAAAAAAATTATTCTTTCACTCATTTACCGGCAGTCGATAAATTTACGTATTTTAATTGTCCTTGTTCGTTTCTGTAAGTTCTAAGTACTTTCGTTTGCTACGAATAGCGAATTGACCGTATGCGTGCTTAAGTATCTATTTCAAAAGAATTTTATTACATTTATTTAAAGATTACATTTTCAATCATCACTACCTCACATCGAAGAGAAAGGAAGTAAATGCTGTATCTAAATGTTAATCAGACAGTTAAGCAAGTATTTGGAGCTAATAGCACGCAAAAATTAAGATGCCACAAATGATTCTGTTAGAAGATTTCTGAGCTTGTGCCTAATTTCGTTATTGTGCTTGTAGTGTAGAACAACGAAGTTTACCCAAGAGAAATAACGTCTGTTTTTGAGGTTGGAGCTGAGTAACGGAAACCGTTAATAAGACTTTCTATTTTGGATACTGTAGAGCACCGTTCGGCACTTCACCAAATACAAAATTTTGAGTGAAAATCAGTATGGATTTACATTACACATTACATTACACCAGATGCAAAATTGAAAATCAACTACACTACAATCACTATGCCAAAACGTTGATAACAAAATACCTCCTATCTGTATTTTTGATGATTTTAAATTTAAAGGAAGCTTTCAACACAGTAAATCACAAATTATTATTAAAAACATTGGAGAGAATTGGTTTTAGAGGAAAACCATACTCACTCATCGAAAATTATCAATCAAGTCATTAGCAAGGAAATGTATATTGAGTGTGGTGTTCCACAAGGAACAGTCTTAGGACCACTGTTATTCAAAATACACATAAATATCATTTAAATATGTTATAATATATACTAAATTTCAAATAAATCCGAACACCCAGTTTAAACGGTTTTATTTTAATAAAATTTTGTATAAGTACTTAATGAAGCATAATAAGTAAATGATAAAAATTTCAAAATGATTGCACTGCTTTAAAGCCCTTTGACCTTTAATAATGCGTGGATGCACCCTGATGTGCTACGCATTCTCCAACGCGCCTAGGCATGCTTCTGATCAGGTGGTCAATGTCCTCCTGTGGTATCTTATTCCAGGCAACCACCAACTCCTCTCGAAGTACTTCTAGAGTCTGAGGAGGACGTTGCAAATTGAGCAATCTCCTCAATTGGGGATAAGTCGGGAGATCTTGGTGGCCATGGTAACAATGTGAGATCATTATGTTGAAAGAAGTCTATTGTGACACTTGCAACATGTGGTCGGGCATTACCTTGTTGGAAAGTTGGATCTGCCAGGGTGTCAAGATAGGGTAAAAGGTGGGGTTCAAGAACATCGTGGATATTACGCTGCGCGTTCATGTTACCTCTGATGAAGATTAAAGGTGACCTGGAACCATAAGCTATAGCACCCCAAACCATAACTCCAACAGTGTGATGAACATGTCTTTCAACAAAAAACTGTGGGCTCCTCCTTTCACCACGTCGCCTTCTAACCCTAGCACGACCATCGTGCATGCCTAAACAAAATCGAGACTCGTCACTAAAGACAATACTGTTCCTTTCCTGATCCCAGAGTGACCGTTGTCTGCACCACTCAAGGCGATTACGTCGGTGTTCTCGAGTTAAAGGGAGGACCCAGTGTGGCCGGTATGAAAACAAGCAAAAACTTCTCATTTGTCGGTAAACACTATACGGCCCCTATCAAACCCACTAAGTTGACGAAATCATACAGGTCTCCGTACTCTAGGCATCGTAACCGATCGTAAAGGATGTCAAGAACCAAAATCCGCCAACGTTGATTCTTTACTGCGGCTGAAATGTTCATTTTTAGAGCGTTAGTGAATTAAAAAAAAGCAGTATAAAAACCGGAATGTCCAACTGATAAGGCTGAAAATTTTTTCACTTGTTATTTACAGTAAGATAAATACATTCACCAACTTTTAGTAAAATAAAACCATGTAAACTGAGTGTTCGGATTTATATGTCACTTAGTATATTTAAATGATATTTTCCAAATTATTTGTGTTGACAAAATGACTACTTAAGCAGATGATACTGGAATATTATATGAATGCACTGACTGTTCTGATCTAAAAAAATTTAATTGGAAATGATTTTGTCAAAATTATTCTATGATTCAATAGTGTCAAACATAAAATACCTCGGGACATCCATGTCAATTATCGTACAGAATTAAATACCTTGCGAATATACTGACAAAAATATTTTCGTTCATTATACCATACACTGATTCAGCCTCATCTTAAATATGGTATACGGGGTGTAAACGTTAAGGTCGGGGAGGGGGGGGTCGGGGGGTCAGAATAAGTCAAAAAGTTCATATGACCCATGGTTCAAAAGTCCATAGATTTTTGTCCAAATGGCTTTAAGTGCTTTCTATCGACCACAATCACCACAATCTTACTAATTTTTATAACCTAATCTAAAAAGTTTTCAAATTGGGTAATTAACAAATAAATGGCAAGTTTTTCTAAGTTGAGCCAACATTTGTAGTTACAGTATATTCAGATAAGAGATAGACCGGATGTAAACAAAAGGTTCGGGTGATTTTCACGCTAACGCCGCCGTCTCGACGTAAAACAGGAGCCCTCATTGGTCAATTCGCAATTAAATGCCTATGCCGAGCGGCAGAGCAGTCGTATCAAGGCAGAGTCACATTCAGGTTCAGACGTGTTACGTATGTCGTGTGCATCATTGCAATTTGATATTTCTTTGGACGTTTTCGTTTGTTATCTTATTAAGTTGTTGAGTTTGTCGTTGTTATTGTTATACCTTGTTATTGATTGTTATTGTTATCAACTGCTTGCGCAAAATGCCCAGTAGTACAGATACTGCCGATGAAGTTGTAAACTCCTGTAGTCCACCTAGGAAACGCTCTAAAAAAAGACACCTGAGTGCAGAAATGAAAGAGGTCATTTTGAATATATATAAGATCGAGCGCGAGGAGAACGAGGCATCAACCATCGAAGAAATTGTTGTGAAGGTTTCTCACAAAGTTGGGGTGTGTCGCGCATCAGTGTTTAATGTGTTAAGACAATACAAAAAAAATCACACCTTTTCTGAGCCAATGACCAGTAAACATCGCAAAAGTATTGTTAAATCATTGGATGAAGCTGATAAGCATGCGATTAGGAGGAAAGTGCATGAATTCTTCTTTAGGAATGAAATACCTACTATAGATAAAGTACTGCAGGAGGTAAATGGAGATACAACGTTGCCAAATTTCAAACGATCAACTTTCCATGCGTTACTGAAGCATTTAAATTTCAAATGGAAAAAACGGGGTCGTAATAGCTTACTACTGGATAGAGAAGAAATTGTGCTATCGAGGAGGGATTATTTAACAAAAATTGGGAAATATAGAAATCAAAACAGGAAGATTTATTACCTTGATGAAACGTGGGTAAACGCAGGACACACTACAAGTAAAGTATGGGTTGATGATTCTGTAACTTCATCCAGGAGGGCCTTTCTAGATCTACTGTCCACCGGATTAAAAAATCCAGCAGGTAAATACGAGTAATAGACAAAAATCGGATGTTTTTCAAACCTTGGGAACAAGGTTCTAAACATTAATTCCAGGGGGCAGATAAAACATATTACAAGTAACAAAACTTTTATAGCTTTCGATAAAATGCGTGGATGTATTATTGTCATTTTCATTTGTTAGAACTTTTTTAAGCCATGTTTTTATGTGTTTTCGATATTTCAATAATTTTTTAATATAATCTTAAAATATGTCGAATATTATAAACTTAAAAAAAGTTACTAAGTTTTATATTGTGTACCGTCCTAATATTTCTAATCATTTTAATTCATACTTTAAGCTTTATAAAGTTATAATTTGTTAATATTAATATTTGCGCGTATTTGAGGTTCCTGATCATTCATTTTTTAAAGGTTTATAACTTTAAATTAAATTGTGAAGCGCTGAGTAATCATACGACGTTCAATATTCTTTTTTTCAATATGACTAAATAATCCCAATTATAGCAATCTGATACTCATGTCTCAATGTTTTTTTGCTGAATGTGATGAAAACATTTGAAAAAGCTTCGCTTATTGAAATAAATCTACACCAGTTAGTACTTCGATTTTCAGGTAAAGGGAAAAGGCTCATTATCTGCCATATTGGCAGTGAGGATGGATTTGTTGTTGACGGTCTGTGGTGCTTTGAGTCTAAGAAAACTGGAGATTACCACGAGGAAATGAATGGCGAATCGTTTGAACAGTGGTTTTCAAAAATTTTACCGAACTTAGAGGAAAACGCAGTAATTGTGTTGGATAATGCGCCTTATCATTCTCTTAGAATGGAGAAGGTCCCAACAACGGCTTCAAGGAAAGTTGATGATCAAAATTGGCTCCGCTCGAAAAATATCAACTTTGAAGAAGCAATGCTGAAAGTACAATTATTAAGAATTGTCAAGGATCACAAGGCGGAATATCAAAAATACGCCATTGACGAAATGGCAGCAAGTCAAAATAAAACTGTGCTCCGTTTACCTCCATACCATTGCGAGCTCAATCCCATTGAGCTCATATGGGCAGAGGTTAAAAATTATATAGCTAAGCACAATACAACTTTTAAATTTTGTGACCTCAAAGGACTTTTCAAAGAAGCACTAGAATTAATAACAGCGCAAAAATGGGAAAACTGTATTAAGCACGTGAAAGACAAAGTTGAAAAGAGAATGTGGGAACTGGACAATATTTTAGAGGAACAAGTCGAGCCATTCATTATTGACGTTGGTGCTTCAGGCAGTAGCGATGATGAAAGCTCATCAAGCTCATCTTTCCAATAAAAGATGTCGTTCATCAAATTCGGTAAGTTATAAGTAATTATAAAGCTACTGTATTTTTTAATTAATTATTGACATTTTTGAACTCATTTTGGCAAAACCTATTCAAGAATCTACTTTCTGACAATGTTCAACCATGCACATTTTTTTACGTTTTGAACGTTTTAATTTGGTTACATATTTACCTAGAAATCAAGAAATATACTAATCAATATTCTAAAAGCAATTTTGAGAGATATACGATTATTTTTAATTTAGGCTAATTTAAACGCCATTTTGAGATTATATTCGTCTGTATTTCACCAAACATCAATCGGCATCCGAAGCTGGAAATCGAAGCGAAAATTTTGAAACCCTTATGTATATTTACATCATTATATATTTCTTACCCCACCCCCACATGATCCTATA